AGGCTCCACCTTTAGGGAGAGTGGAGAGTCCACTGGGAATTCTATGAAGGGACAAAATGACCAATTCTTGGGGGAAAGCACATATTTGGGGGTAATTCGGGTAGGGTCCAAGACTTAGGTTGGCATTTGCCCTGGGTTATTATCTCCTAGTGGGGTTTTACAGACTTGGTTTTTCAGGGAAATAAATTTTAATTTGATAGCTCCCCCTAAAGGATAAACTCTGTATGGCAACTCTAAACCAGACTCCCTGATCTGGCCTACCTAATCTATGAAAAATCAGACCATAACTGTGATTAATGACTTATTCAGCTCCCAACCACCTTCACATTTAGAAACTCCTTAATATCCAAACTAATCCTCCTTTGTTCGAATTTAGGGTCATCATTTCTTGTCCTGTTCTGTCCCCTACAGACACAGAACAACTGATCACCATCTTCTTTTTTTTTTTATAACAACCCTTTTTATACTGGAAGATCTATCAAATCCCCCTTCCATCTAAACAATCGTAATTCTTCCAACCTTGCCTCGTGTGCTGAGTTTTCTAGACCTCAAATCATTTTATATTTCCTCCTCTGAACTCTTTTTAATTTGTCTGCATTTTGCTCCAGGTTGATGCTGAACAGAGGGGACTAACCACTTCTCATGACTTGCATATCGCATGCCCACGTGCCTTCAGAGCCATGATCATAAACTACCTAATTTGACTACTATGTTGGTTTTCTTCCTGGCAGCTGCACCCAAAAGACTTGCATGGATTGTAGCTTCCCCTGCTGACTGCTCTCAGCTGATCAACAACCCGTCACCATGTGCCCAGGACTCCCTATCCACCCAGTCAGCATCCCAGGAAATCATTTGGCCACTGCCATTATCAGCCACTAAGGGCACCAATGGGTAAAAGGAGCTATTTAAACCCCATTCATTTTGGTATGAAAGGCACACCTAACCTAACTGAAATGTGTCTACTAATACATAGACAACAGCCTCTCCCAGCTCTCCACCCTTCGCTAATACTCCTTATTTTGTTGCTTGGAGATTAGTCACAAGGCTTTTGCTCCTGCTACTCAGAAGGCCTAACCTCTACAGCAGCCTCAAAATTACTAGTTTCATGGCTGCTAATAACATACAGGTGACAGTGGAGGTGTGCCTATGGATAGCCTCCCTCCCCTTGTTAGGCAACCAGAATATTGCCCAGTGCATCTACTGTATGCAGTTTAGACTGTACAGGCAGGGCCTTATCGTCATCACCCACCTCCCCCTGCCCTGCACACTGCTCTTACGTTGACTTACAGACAAAGCCAGCCCCTGTTGCCTCCTTTGCCTTGGTGATGACAACGAACCCCCAAACATCACTGTGACTGGTACTTAGCTACATTGCTGCTAGTGACAGCAGTGACACTGGGACAGAGAAAGTGCTACCCATGCCTCTATTCTATAAAAGGGTGGTATCTCACCTTTCCCTCTATCTCTACAGATGGCTGCTGGAAGAACCTGTTTCCCCAGGGAAGAATAAGGGATTCAACATGGAAGGAATAATTCCACACACACAGAACTGAAAACAGAGCCATCCATCCCTACATTGAATTCTCAAAGGTGGCTCCTTTTATTTTGTGGATACCATCCTATTGCTTCACCTGATGCAGAGCACAAATGGGCTTTTCTTTCTTGTTCTCTGCTTTTATCCAGGTGGGAGTTAGATTTGAGGCATGGAACATGAGAAATATGCTTTGATAGGCAATCTTGCAGGCTGCTTTGAAAAGGCTGCCTTTAGCAGATACCCTGCATGACAAGTTCTAAGAAAATTCTGCATAATTATAGAAGGGAAAAATTATTTCGTGCTGTAATTCAGTTTGTAAGGCATGCTAATCCTCACCTAAATAAGTCAACTTTGAAGGCTTTATGGGCACTTTTACCCACACAGACTCTTAGGGCCCTGCTACATGTTCAAATTAAAGCTGGATAGAAGCCAGCTACAGAGTTGTTACACATTTTCAAGCACTAACTTTATAGCTGGTTGGCTCTTTTTATAGCTGGGTAGTAATTTTTATTATGTGATCATTACTTCGCACATGTGACTGGTCTAAATTTATTGCTCGATTAACCAGTTAATTGCATAAATAAGTACGTGTAGCAGGGGCCTTCAGTTCAACTACTGTAGCCCTGCAGGGCTAAATTCATTGCTGATGGAGCTCCTCCAAAGCTACATCAGCGATGAATTTGGCGCACAATAGACCAGAACAAATAATTGCAGTTGTCCAGGAATTAAAGGTGGAAACAACTTCATTTTTCCCCTGTAGAGCAAGTACTGTGTCTCTACTGACCCAGCCACCCGTGTTTCAGACTGTCAGCTCTGTGCACAAATAATCACTAAACATGCAGGTTACCTTGCTTAGGGTGTGAATACATTAATACTTGATGATAAACAAGTGAGCATAATAGCTCCACGATGCAAAATTAAGCTTCCTCTGGTAATGTGCTGCCAGCAATTTAACTTGTATGTTATTGAGTAATGAAGCAGTAGAGAATATTCAGCCAAATTTTGAGAATACTGTTGTCACAGACAAACTAGTAAGATTTTATGTTCTTAAGATGGATAAAAGCTTAGCAGGGCAGAGAAAGTTAGACACTTCTGTCTTCACTCATGTTTGGTCAGGCTGTCTGAGAAACTTACTGAACACAAGAACCGATACCTTTAAACACAGTGTGCATTTATTATAATATTTTGCTCTTCAGAAGCAGCCTCCAACCAGACGTCTCAAACTGCTTTAATGTTTTTAGCCTAACAGCAGCCCTGTGAAGTAGGAAAATACTGTAAAGATGAAAATAACAGCAGGACACAGTGAAACAGTGACTTGCCAAGGACATACAACAAGCTTATGGCAGAACCAGAATCAGAACCCAGGTCTCTTGGTTACTGAGTTTGTACTTTAACTACAAGACCATTATTGCTCCTGAAGTGACAGTAATGGGATTGCATAAGATTGCTTGTCAGCCTCTGCCTTCCACCTTAGACATCTGGTACCAGCTGGGGTTTCATGAGTTTTAGGTAAGGATGAGTCAAAAGGATGCTTATTCCTCCTACACCAGGTAACACTAAAACCAGACTCTTAACCACTAAACCTCCATAAGCCCTTTTATTGCCCGATTTTGTTCCTGCCTAGGCGCGTCTACACAAGATGTGTTAATGCACATTAGTCTAATTTAATGCGCATTGTAGGCATGCGTCTACAGGTGTGTGCCCTTAATGCAAATTAAAAATGACAAAATTAGGCTAATCATGCCTAAAGTTGATACCTACAAATGCAGATATCAAATTAGGTGCAATTAGTTAAAGCACATTAACGCACATGTAAATGTGACCCAGCACTAACTTTAGTGCCGGCTCTGCCTAGCTACTAGGAGCACATGGCAGGGCTGCAGTGACTTGGAACTACTTTAGTGCCAAGTCCCTGCATGTGCAGACACCTGCCAGAAAAAAAAAAAATCACTTAATGTGCATTAAATTTAGTTGCACATGTAGACACGCCCCCTGAAAGCTAACCTCAGGTGCCCAGTGCCTCAGACTACAGACCCAAACACTGTTCTAGTCTAGTCACTGCAATAGTCTCTCTCATTCCTTTAACAAAATGATGGGTCTGATAGTAAGCCACTAGCAAAGGTTATAAGCTTTAAACTGAATGAAGAGCAGGGGAAGGTGGAAGGCATGAGTGTGCAAGCATTAAAAGCTCCAGCCTATAGCCCAGCTCATCACCTTTGAGTCCCCTCTTGCTGAATGTAAACAGTTCAGTACTGGACAAGGATCAGCACTTGGATAAAAGCAATTAGTCTGAAGAGTAATCCAGACAAGATAAAGGTCACTTCATGGCAAAAATAATTTCCATTCCCTCTATTGAGGTGGTTATGACTTGAGGAGGTCTTCTCAGGTTCTCAGACTGCAACAGTGAAGGTGGTTTATCTTGTATCTGACAGGAAGCATGTGTGAACCTTACTCTCCAGTTCAGACCTTGCTATAGGATATTCATGCTTCTTCCACACCTGGCCATTCAGTACAAGGCTATGCTCAAAGACTTGGCTGGATCTTTAAGCCTGAGAAGAAAATTGAGCTCTCTCACAAAATCTTGTTGCCTGCACCACTAGCTTCCAATTTTGTTTCCAGGTGCAACTAGAAGCGTTGCCTTTGACCAGCCAAATCCTACCTAACTTGACATCTGGCTACCCTGGAAGACATTTCTCTTTTTTGATGCTTCATCCTGGGCAGCAGAGGCTTTCACTCTCTAGCCCTGATCATCTGGCAGCTCTTTAGCCAAGTTGCTGGCCCAGCCTGGTGCAAAAGTTTTCTATTTACCAGGATGCAAGCCTGACTGTCTCAGGAAGAATTCTTTATAGCTGATTTTTTCCGGACTAGTTATTCCAGGGGGTTCTTCTTCCCACTCCTTCCACACAAACTGATGCAACAGCAACTCTTAACAGTCAGTATTTTAGTGGATTCGCCTTTCCACTAGTCAACACCATTGGATAATGTCTATAAACTAACAATGCATTTAGCAATGAGCAGTTCCCAATCCTGATTACCTCAGCAGTACCACCTTTTACCAAGGGGTGTCTTTTTTCTCTGACAAATCACTGCTGAACCAGCCCGGACTGTTGGGTAGGATTGCAGCAGAGCTACATCCAGGAAGAATTTTGTCTCCCAGCTGCTTCAAGACAAGTCAGTTTTTCAGCAGGAAACCAAACAGCCTTTGTAACTTCACTTTCTAGGTAATATTCAGGGGTTGCATTCTGCATGAAGATGCACACAACAGCCACTGTCAGTCTTCATCCTCACACTACAATCTCACAGTGCTCATTTGCCATTTCAAAATGCTTGTGGTAAAGCTCATTAGTTTATAAACACTGGAGAATATTCTAACATCTCAACAAAACCTGCAAAAGAGAGTAACAACTACCTACTGTTTGATTCACCAAGTCTCTCTTCTCAGGTCCCTCCCTCTTAGATGTATTAGTTTGTATGTAGTAGCTTAAGTCTCCAGAGGAGTCACAAATCCCTTCAACAACATTCTCTAGCCCCTTTAGAGGTCTTGAAGGCACAGCTGGCACTGTGGGCCACATGCCACGTTACTGCAGGTGTCTATTGTGGAGGTCAAGGCAAGGCAACATGTCTGTGAAGGGAATGCAGTCTGCATGGCCAGTGCCAATAAGGGACTCAGCAGCACATTGCTGCTGAGTCCCTTGGGGTAACAGGGAATGCAGCCAGCCATCTACTTCACCCTAAATACTTCACCTCACTTCACACTAAGCTTGTTCTTAGGCACATCCGTATTGGAAAATAAACCTTATGCACAGATCCATCTTTCTCCATTCATTTAACATTGCAGTTAAGTCAGGGCCTATTACAGAACAGGCAGGTTATCCCCAACCCAAGAGTAATCTTGGATCAGTTGGGCCCTGTCTGTGCTAAACCTGAAACCAAGATGAGGCCCCTCATAACATTCTGACAGAGTGGAGGGATGCAACCAAAACTGGACCTGTGCTAGTCCTTGTAATCCAATTAAAATCCAGTGTTTTGACAGACAACTCTTTCCTATAGCTGAACTAAGTCAAGGGACAGGTATACTGTAACCAGGACCCACTCCTAGCCTAGATAGGGGAGATTTATAACCAGTAGCAAGGGAGCTGACCATATGAGATACACAGATGCAACAAATACAGCTCCCAACAAATATCAAAAAGAAAAAAGGAATATAAATAAAAGAAAACTTGATGAGGGTTAAAAGCCCATAAGTGGGCTCCACTGAGACCAGCAAGTCAGGGGGCACCACTGATTAGTTGCTTTGACCACAGTCAATCCAGTTAAAATAAAAGTTCTTAGAAGCAGTCTCATGTCTTAGTAGTGCTATGCTGCAGGCTATTTTCCACCCTTGTCTCAGTGGACCATCAGGATATTTGGATTTCTGACAGCTCCAGTGAAGTAGCTGCTCCTGCTGGCAACCCTGGTGCTTGCTGAAGCTTTGCTTCCAAGTTCTCCAGCCCTACAGACATCTGAGAGTAAGGCAGCCCTTTATGTTGGAGGGAAGCAGAATCAGGTGGTAGGCAGCCATGTCCAGATGAGGCACCAAAGTGGTTCTGTATGTAAAATTCTCCAAAGGCAGTGCTGGTTTGGTATGGGGCAGGAGCGTGGATGTAACCTGGTGTGTAGCTATGCCAGGATTCCAGGCTCTGGGCATTAGGGTGCTGTATCTGCATAGTAGGAAGTGCTGGAGGTGAAGGGCAGTAGTAGCTCTGAGTGGGGTATGAGCCCGGCACTGGATTAATCCTGAACAGAAAGGGAAAAAATAGTGTTACATGGTGTTTACACTTGGCATTTCCCAATCTCTGCACATGCCCTGTTGGCAAACTTCATTGTTCAAAATCACCACAAGCATGTAACAGGAGTCACTCTACAACAGCAAGCTGAGCTCAGTTGCTACAGAATACTTAGCAACGATATACAAAAAGCCTGGCATTACTTATTAGAAATAGACCCATACTCCTCAGTGGAGGTAATGTGGATACAAGTCTCTCATTGGCACGAAACATGCCAATCCTCCAAAGCAAGGTAAGATTTCTGTAACCATCGCCATTGAAATTGTGTCTCCTTTAAGCTGTTAAATCAGAAAGAGCACCTGTCAAGCATTATTTACCAAGACACGAAGCCATCAGAGGAGGAAGAGAGTTGGCAGTATTTGGGTAAGAAATTCTAATATAATGAATATTTCAGAAGTGAGCATCCAGAAACAGCAACTGCTAGCAGACGGCATGAATCAGAAGATGCTCTACTTAATACATTAACCTTTCAGGACTACCTA